GAGAACATAAATAATATGTACCTGTCAGAAGAGAGAAAACGTACTTTATGCATATGCAACAAACGAGAAGTTGTTTAGTCTCTCAAATCTTATATTACACAATATCCTTCTTGACTCAAAAGATATAAAAAAATCCCTATGCTGATTCAGAAATAGAGCTAGATTGAGCTGGCTAGACTTGCTTTTGTATGCGTTTCTAGATTATTATTTTTTCATAAATAAATATATTCCACGGTCCTGGTGCAGGACTATATGTTTGTTTGTTTGTTTGTTTGCTTAATGCCAATCAGTTACCTGTAAGAACAACAAACGTGAAAAGATAACAAAGATTTAAAATTAACAAGGGAAGCCAACAGTTAATTAGCACTGATAAGTGATTAGCAATGGACAATGGAAGCCGAAACGTTGCGTTCCCCGTCATAGTTGACATCAATAAATTCTCCATCTTCCCGAGGCAAGAGAGTTAACTGTCTATAAAAGTCCAGTTTCCGATCTAGGCTGGTATTATGGAGCTACATTTTGGCTGGACTAACGAGTCTATGCATAGTCCAATCAAAATCGCGCACCGAAATCGAAATCCGGTTCGTAAACTGTCGTGCAGATTCCGGTCGATTGCAGGATTTGCAAAGCATGTGCACCGCCAACTCGTTGTCAGCAGATATTTTCCAAATCTTTTCATGTTTTTAATCAAGGTGCTCACGTGATTTGACGCATTTCGCGATATAAGACCCGTTTTATCACAATATAGATCTTGATTATCGATCAGATCGTCCAGACTCAGCGCCACCATTTTGTGTGAAGCAAACGCAAGTGATGCGAGAGGTGGAATCTGATTGGTCAGTAGGAGAGGCTTAGAAGGGACATAACTGGTAATAGCCACTGGTGGCGCTACGATCGAGCCCAGAAATTCCAGCCTAGTTCGGCAAGGGTGGAAACTGGACTTTTAAAGTCAGTTAACTCTCTTGCCTCGGGAAGATGTAAATTCTCTTCCTTAAATGCTTTTTGCTTTCAGTGTGTCTGATACCCCGTGTGCCCATTGTTTGGGGACTAGAGACCAATAGGTGCCAGGCAAGTGACGGGACTCCGTATCAGGTATAATGATGTCCAGGGCAGGACGTGACAGTGCTTTGACAACCTTTCTTCCAAAGATATATACGTCTTTACATTAATGACTATGTTGTACCTCCCTAATGACTATGTTGTACCTCCCTAATGACCATGTTGTACCTCCCTAATGAACATGTTGGTCCTCCCTAATGACCATGTTGGAATTCACTAATGACCATGTTGGACCTCCCTGATGACCATGTTGGACCTCTCTGGTGACCATGTTGGACCTCCCAGATGACCATGTTGGACCTCCATGATGACCATGTTGGACCTCCCTAATGAACATGTTGGTCCTCCCTAATGACCATGTTGGAATTCACTAATGACCATGTTGGACCTCTCTGGTGACCATGTTGGACCTCCCTAATGACCATGTTGGACCTCCCTGATGACCATGTTTGACCTCCCTGATGACCATGTTTGACCTCCCTGATGACCATGTTGGACCTCCCCGATGACCATGTTGGACCTCCCTGATGACCATGTTGGACCTCTCTAGGGCCATGTTGGACCTCCCTAATGACCATGTTGGACCTCCCTCGTGACCATGTTGGACCTCCCTGATGACCATGTTGGACCTCCCTGATGACCATGTTGGACCTCTCTAGGGCCATGTTGGACCTCCCTAATGACCATGTTGGACCTCCCTCGTGACCATGTTGGACCTCCCTGATGACCATGTTGGACCTCCCTGATGACCATGCTGGTCCTCCTTAATGAACATGTTGGACCTCCCTTGTGACTATGTTGGACCACCCTGATGACCATGTTGGACCTCCCTGATGACTATGCTGGTCCTCCTTAATGACCATGTTGGACCTCCCTCATGACCATGTTGGACCTCCCTCGTGACCATGTTGGACCTCCCTGATGACCATGCTGGTCCTCCTTAATGAACATGTTGGACCTCCCTGATGACCATGTTGGACCTCCCTGATGACCATGCTGGTCCTCCTTAATGACCATGTTGGACCTCCCTCATGACCATGTTGGTCCTCCCTAATGACCATGTTGGACCTCCCTGATGACCATGCTGGTCCTCCTTAATGAACATGTTGGACCTCCCTGATGACCATGTTGGACCTCCCTGATGACCATGCTGGTCCTCCTTAATGACCATGTTGGACCTCCCTGATGACCATGTTGGACCTCCCTGATGACCATGCTGGTCCTCCTTAATGACCATGTTGGACCTCCCTGATGACCATGTTAGACCTCCCTAATGACCATGTTGGACCTCCCTGATGACCATGCTGGTCCTCCTTAATGAACATGTTGGACCTCCCTCATGACCATGTTGGACCTCCCTGATAACCATGTTGGACCTCCCTGATGACCATGTTGGACTTTCCTAATGACCATGTTGGACCTCCCTAATGACCATGTTTGACCTCCCTGATGACCATGTTGGACCTCCCTGATGACCATGCTGGTCCTCCTTAATGACCATGTTGGACCTCCCTGATGACCATGCTGGTCCTCCCTAATGACCATGCTGGACCTCCCTAATGACCATGCTGGTCCTCCCTGATGACCATGTTGGACCTCCCTAATGACCATGCTGGTCCTCCCTAATGACCATGCTGGACCTCCCTAATGACCATGCTGGTCCTCCCTGATGACATGCTGGTCCTCCCTAATGACCATGCTGGTCCTCCCTAATGACCATGTTGGACCTCCCTAATGACCATGCTGGTCCTCCCTGATGACATGCTGGTCCTCCCTAATGACCATGTTGGACCTCCCTGATGACATGCTGGTCCTCCCTAATGACCATGCTGGTCCTCCCTGATGACATGCTGGACCTCCCTAATGACCATGCTGGTCCTCCCTGATGACATGCTGGTCCTCCCTAATGACCATGCTGGTCCTCCCTAATGACCATGTTGGACCTCCCTATTGACCATGTTGGTCCTCCCTGATGACATGCTGGTCCTCCCTGATGACATGCTGGTCCTCCCTAATGACCATGCTGGTCCTCCCTAATGACCATGCTGGTCCTCCTTAATGACCATGTTGGACCTCCCTAATGACCATGCTGGTCCTCCCTGATGACATGCTGGTCCTCCCTGATGACATGCTGGTCCTCCCTAATGACCATGCTGGTCCTCCCTAATGACCATGCTGGTCCTCCTTAATGACCATGTTGGACCTCCCTAATGACATGCTGGTCCTCCCTGATGACATGCTGGTCCTCCCTAATGACCATGTTGGACCTCCCTAATGACCATGTTGGACCTCCCTAATGACCATGCTGGTCCTCCCTGATGACATGCTGGTCCTCCCTAATGACCATGCTGGTCCTCCCTAATGACCATGCTGGTCCTCCCTAATGACCATGTTGGACCTCCCTAATGACCAAGCTGGTCCTCCCTAATGACCATGCTGGTCCTCCCTAATGACCATGCTGGTCCTCCCTCATGACCATGCTGGTCCTCCCTGATGACATGTTGGACCTCCCTGATGGCATGCTGGTCCTCCCTGATGACATGTTGGACCTCCCTGCTGACCATCTTAGACCTCTCTATTTAACCTTTACTCATTCATTTGAAGCAAAGACGGGGTGTTGTTTTCCTGGATGTGGATATTTGCGATGTCCCAAGGTGACTGACACGACACGTGGTTAAAACTGATGACGGAGAGAATGTTGAGAGTGTGGGGAAAAGATGTTCACTTTTATCAGCGCGTCTACTTTAAATACGATGAACAGCGACATTATAAAGTGACATTTACTTAGATACGTTCACATTCTACAGACGTAAATGCTATGCCGGACAGATGGAATGTTGTGTCACGATAGTTGAAAATGTTGATACGTTCAAATCCTATTTCGTTCATGAATCCTCTTTTACATGTAACCTCACTCAGCTAGGCTCACATATGGCTCGAATTCCAGATTGTCAGACGATTTACTCGCAATAATTTAATTATGCTACTCGTTTTTGGATTGTGATTGTGGATTAATGCTATGCCTGTATATTGCATCAATAATATGTAGGTATGGTCGTCGATAATGGAGTAATTTGCCAATAATAACTTTGGCCCGTCTTGGCCCGGTCCGACGTTTAGACAATCCCAGTTTGGCTGGACTAGCGCACCCCTGTACACGCGTACCCCAAAATAGGTGTAAATTAGAGCCCATCCCAGTTACAGAAAAACTAGGGCTTGACTAATTGATCATTATTCAAGACGTCAAGATGGCACGATTGTAGTGAAGTTCCGCTGCAATAGACAATGATGTCATAATTCGATGACGTAACAATACATTCGTCACACACGCGTACGTATGAAGTAACAGTCCACTTCACACACAACTGGTCCGTTATAACACAGGGAATAAATATCACTATCCGCATTGCCTCGTTCAGGATCCCGACTGCTATACGTTCGTCAGCAGAGCGATATTTGTTATTACTTTTAGACGTGATTGTTTGTTGTTTAACGCCGCATTCAGCAATATTCCAGCTATTTGACGACGGTCTGTAAATAATCGAGTCTGGACCAGACGATCCATTGATTAACTCCATGAGCCTTGACAGATTACGCATGGGATACGATGACATGCATCAACCAAGTCAGCGAGCTTGCCCACCCGATCCCGTTGGTCGCCTATTACAAGCTTATAGTCGTCCAGCTCTTACAGCAAGCAGTTAATTGTCTTATATGTTGCAACCATCTCCTGAAAAACATTTTCCAAGCCCAAACTGGCGGAATGAAGATATTTGTACAAGCCGTATTATAAACACAACACACTTGACATCAGTTGTGACGCAATCCCGGTCGCCTTATAAAGGGGATTTACCGGAAAATATGGCGTCGAGAGTTTGACATACATATAATCGTTGTGGTTTCGAGGCTACGTACATGCGTAATCTCAGAGGGTAAACAAAATGGCGGCCGCCAAGTCGACGAGCCGAAGTGTCCCCGGCTCCGGTGGGCCAGTTAGAGTTGGATACTATGAAATGGAAACTACAATCGGCAAAGGCAACTTTGCTGTGGTTAAAAGGGCTTCCCACATAGTCACTAAAACCAAGGTAAGTCGGAAAATGCCAGAGAAACTCAACTGTTTTGGTCGTCGAGCGAAAGATCTCGATCAAGATTTTGTGTCAATGCGTGCGATTTGGCGATTTTCGCCATAATCAAAGTGCACGTGTGAATCCTTCAGATGTCATGTTACGTAGTGTTTTAAGCAGAGCGGTTGGCAGCAGGTGGTGTCAGAACTGGTTTGACTGATAAGAAAGAGGGCCTGTCTGCGGTGGACATGCTTGTCCCTTTCAGTTAACAATATCAGCTCCCACTGCCATGCTGACAAATTGTTTGTTTACGAAAGGAAATCAGTGCATGCATGTCATGTTTGTCAAATACATGACTCTAAGCCCGCTCCCCCCACGCAGTACCCGAGGTTCGTCATCACACACTAGTATCTGCCCAACCAAACCAACCCCTGTCCGTGAGTTAGGGACCAGAGCGGCCATGTAAACAAAGTCGTCACAGACCCAATGGCTATGGGAGATCAGTGTTATGACTATTGTCTGGTGAAATGGAAGAAAACTTGTCAACTTTTCAGTTCTGTGTTGGGTCAATAGCTCTTATTGTTGTTGAATTGTCTGTTTATTTGTTGCTTACATCATCCACGTCACACAAATTGTCTGTGTAGATCAGTGTGGGAATGTCAGGTTCTGTAATATGTTATCCAAACTTCTCATAAGGGGGACACAGCAGACCACTCGTCTAAGGTTTGTGCTGTTCAGAGTTACGTCTCACACATCAGACTATGATGTCACTTGATGGTGTACTATGAGTTATACAGGGTGTATGGGATTTTATGATCAGTACACCACGAGTGAGTGAGTATGGTTTTACGCCGCTTTTAGCAATATTCCAGCAATATCACGGCGGGGGACACCAGAAACGGGCTTCACACAATGTACCCATGTCGGGAATCGAACCCAGGTCCAGTTCACCATGATTTGTGTTTTGTTTGTTTGTTTGTTTTTTAACGCCGCACACAGCTGTATTCCAGCTACCGGTATATGAGGGTGGTCTGTAAATTAATCCAGTCTGGACCAGACAATCCAGTCATGAGTGATTCACATCATGAGAATCGATCCACACAATTGGGATCAATGACATGTATCAATCCCGTTAGTTGCCTTTTGCGAGAAGCATAGTCGCCTTAACGGCAAGTATGGGTTGCTGAAGACCTATTCTAACCCACACTCAGCAATATTCCAGCTGTATGACGGCGGTCTGTAAATAATCTAGTCTGGACTGGACAATCCAGTGCTTGACACCATGAACATCGATCTACGCAATTGGGATGCGACGACATGCATCAACCAAGTCAGTGAGTCTGACCACCTGATCCCTTTAGTCACCTTTTACGACAAGCATAGTCACCTTTTGCGGCAAGCATGGGTTGATGAAGACCCATGGGTGAACTATGAGTTACATGTCACTAACAGTGGGTAAGTATGGTTTTAGGGCGCTTTTAGCAATATTCCAGCAATAACACGGCGGGGGACACCAGAAATGAGCTTCACACATTATACCCATGATAGGTCTTCGGCATGACCTGATCATTCCTGTCACTAAACGGGTGTATGGGATTTTGTGATCAGTAAACCATGAGGCCAAAGATGTAAAAAATTTATTGTCATGAGTTACAAGTTAAGAGACTTACTTTTGATGAAACAGCCATCAGATGTCCAGCATGGTAACCATGGTAACCGTGAGTGTGACAAGCTTTTGACATAACACCAAACATTATGCTGTCATTCGGTCCAGCATCCTTGCTAAGAAGAGACAATTTTGGTGGTCACTGTGACATTAATCCATGATTGATGACCAAAGTTTGTCTACTGCACACCACTTGGCTACCTAAAAGTAAACATAACTGGCAACAATTTCAATTTAAGCGATGAATAGACATTAATTACCAATCATGTTAAGTCACAAGAGTTTCATTAGTAATTTGGACCCATGAAGATCCGGGGTAGAGTAGATCTTCAGCAACCCATGCTTGCTGTAAAAGGGGAATATACTGTATTCGACGAAATAAGCGCCCAGGGCGCTCTCAAAATTAGAAATAGGTGCCTCTTATTTGAATATTATTTTGGTGAAAAAGACTGTGTTGAAAGATAAATTTTGTGGTTTATGCTGACAGCCTAAACTGTTTATATACAAGAGATACATTTTTCCAGAATTTAAATGCTCTTAATTAAGGGTGCATATAAAACGTACGTATTATACGTGAATAAATAAGTGTTGTGTACATTGATCAATCGGAAGGGGTGCTAATTGGTATTGTTCACTAGCCAACGTATACATACAGCAAATATCGCCGTGGGCGCTTATTAGAGCAGGGCGCTTATTACGTCGAATACAGTACTTTTCGTAAAACTAAAAGGCGACTAACATGATCGGGTGGTCAGGCTCGCTGACTTGGTTGATGCATGTCATCGATCACAACTGCGTGGATCAATGTTCATGATGTCAATCACTAGATTGTCTGGTCCAGACTCAATTATTTACAGACCGCCGTCATATAGCTGGAATATTGCTGAGTGTGGCGTAAAACAACCAACAAAAAACCAAAATTAGTAATTTGAGTATTTTTTACTCTGTTGCATTTGCATGAGTGAGTATGGTTTTACGCCGCTTTTAGCAATATTCCTGCAATATCACGGCGGGGACACCAGAAATGGGCTTCACACATTGTACCCATGTGGGAATCAAACCCGGGTCTTCGGCGTGACGAGCGAACGCTTTAACCACTGGGCTACCCGACCGCCCCTGCATTTGCATGAACTCAAGCGATATTGTACCAAAAGTTAAAATTCACGTTAATATTTAATTTACCTGTCCATTACCATGATTACAATTGAACACCAATCTTTAGAATTCACACAATAAGCTCCTGTAAGCATATATCATATATGAAACATTGGGACGTTTGTCCTATCTCAGATTCTTAGCCTGGTTCCTTGACGTGTAAAAACTTAGCTTTGGCTCCTAAAATATTCAGATCAGGAGCCACTCGCTCCCTAATAAAAAACAAACTTGGAGGGCTGACAAACACTAGTGAAAGGATTGTGTGGTCAGGCTCGCTGACTTGGTTGATGCATGTCATCGTATCCCTGTTGTGTAGATCAATGCTCATGAAGTCAATCACTGGATTGTCTGGTCCAGAATCGATTATTTACAGACCGCCATCATATAGCTGGAGTATTGCTGAGTGCGGCATATACTACAATGAAAAACAAACAAGATGGCAGCTGGTCTTTCACTAGCATCAGATAGCTTCCGTATACTGTAGATCTTGAAATCAACGCGAGCATGAATAAATGCGAAAAATGAGAGTGGTCTTTGCTCGCATTGTTAAACATCGCATTTATATCAACAATAAGACATTTTGGGTAGCAGAAATACCAACTCAGACATACGCTGAAAACAAACAACTATATATTCCACATCACTGTTTATTGAGCAGCACTTGTAACAAGTATATAAACAATGTCATTCAAACACTAATTACATCCTGTGAATTGTCACTGCTGGGGTAAGACAAGAGTTCTACTCACTCACGTCATCACTGATCACACCTACAAGTCCAGACAGACACCACCATCATGGTGTCTTTGTTCTTTGCGACTGTGTCAAAGGCCGACACGAGCCAGTGCGCATGTACTCTACTCAGCGCTAATAAGCGGTGCTATTTGGTGTGTAATTGGATTAATGTAAGGTTGGATTAAGGTGAGAATTCTCTTGTAAACCTGATAAAGGACATTTTCTTTAGATATTAATCCACTGATGCTTGAGAGGAGGGGGGTGTCTCGTTCATATTGAGTCAGCTTTTGGTTCGGGACCAGCGGTCGCATTCTTTTGGAGATACATTAATTTCACGATTTACAGAATGTCCGCAGATAAGCCAAATTTTGAGGGCCAGAAAAAAAGATTCTGTAGAAAGGGATGGGCTTATACCAGGGTTAGAAATTGGCACTAGTTCTAACGTCCTTGCCAAAGTGCCCAATAGTAAAGGTATCCTAAGGACTAGTAGAATTTTGAAACTTTTAAAGGTTTTGCTACATGCTATCATTATAAGGACTAGTGGACTGAAACTGTTAGCTTCTACCGCTGTTATCCACGGGATACACTTTCATGATAGTATTTTTCAGACCATGAACTGTCAGAAACATCATCTTAATCAATGACGGTCCAATTCTTTAATAAGTAATGATATCTCGCTTGTCTGGTTGGTTGGGAAGCAAGATGCCATTCAAGCTGGAGGTGTCATCTCTTGTCTGTCAATCACAACTGACTCTGATCTAATTTTCAATTACGCTGGAGATGAGTGGATACAGCTGATAAATGTCACACAAACATTTTTCATTGAAATCAAGTTTCTTTAACTGTTGTTACCATGGTAACATGTGTCAATAGTGAAGTGAATGAGATGTTACAAGGTGAATAGACTCAGTGCAGACATGAGATCAGTGTTCCTGGTGGAATGGCAACTTCAAAATTTACCAGTCCCCACTAACTGTTGTCAGTCCCAACTTTCAAACGACTCAAAAATGTATGAAAATTACCTGGGCCCACTTGCACAAAGCCATCTTAGCGCAAAGACTGCCGTAAGCCAATGTTGAAGTATGGGAGTTATGATCATCTTACTGCTAAGATTGCTTTGTTACCCATGAAGATTCCGGGGTAGAATAGGTCTTCAGCAACCTAACCTATGAAAAGGTGACTATGTTTGTCGTAAAAGGCGACAAACGGGATCGGGTGGTCAGATTCGCTGACTTGGTTGATACATGTCATTGATCCCAATTGCATGGATCGATGCTCATGATATTAATCACTGGATTGTCTGGTCCAGACTCGATTATTTTACAGACCGCCGTCATATAGCTGGAATATTTCTGTGTGCTGCGTTAAACAACCAACCAACCAACCAAGCTTTGTGCAAGAGGGCCCTGGTTTTAATTCTTTCAACATCATGTTCAATGCAATGACGTCACCTCTGAAGTAACTTAGTTAGAGCTACACATCATTCATCATTCAAGCTTAGTCACAATTTCTCTTTTTGAAAAAAAAAAAGGGGCGGTCGGGTAGCCTAGTGGTTAAAGCGTTCGCTCGTCACGCCGAAGACCCGGGTTCGATTCCCGTCATGGGTACAATGTGTGAAGCCCATTTCTGGTGTCCCCCGTCGTGATATTGCTGGAATAATGCTAAAAGCGGCGTAAAACCAAACTCACTCACTCACTCTTTTTGAAAAAAAATATTTCGAGACTAAATTGCAACAAATATATATTTAACCTCGAAGCAAAGCAAAGCTTTATTTCCTTGCACTAAAAATAGACAAGGGGAAACCCTGATGGTAACAGACAAGCTGACATCGTTCGAAAAATTAACTTATATGAATATTACCTGTGTTTTGTTCAAGAAAGATTGATGAGATACTTTGTTTGCCAGCCCACAGGGTCTGGCAGTCATATGAATTACTGGTCCAAGCCTAATTGTACTGGTAACAAACTGGTAGTTTTGATATGGCTGGTTACGACTGGGTAAACGCATCCAACATGCCAACCTCCCGACAATTTCAAAAGCTGTGATCTGCTATCCTTTTAAGGCATGTCCTATAAGAGGCAAAAGAGCTCCACAAGAAGCAGACAACTCTGTTAGGTATGGGGTCATCGGAGGCTAAGTGCAGCCCGGTATGACCGGGGGCTGTAGCCTCGTCACCGGTGACGTCCCACTGACGTGTTCGCAATCACTGGGGTCAGTAAATAGTTATGGCTGTAACTTTGTGACTCATATTTCAAAGAATGACTGTCAGGTCCACTTGCTCGTACATCAGCACTGATAAATCATAGCCATGCTGATACCATCGCCATGTTACGGCTGAATGAACATATAGACGGTGTTGTATTCAATAGAGTTATGACGGAGGAAATATGATGTCGGTGTTGTGTTCAATAGGTTTATGACGGAGGAAATATGATGTCGGTGTTGTGTTCAATAGAGTTATGACAGGAAAAACGATGTCGGTGTTGTGTTCAATAGAGTTATGATGGAGGAAATATGATGTCGGTGTTGTGTTCAATAGGGTTATGACGGAGGAAATATGATGTCGGTGTTGTGTTCAATAGGGTTATGACGGAGGAAATATGATGTGGGTGTTGTGTTCAATAGAGTTATGATGGAGGAAATACGATGTTGGTGTTGTGTTCAATAGAGTTGACGGAGGAAATACGATGTCAGTGTTGTGTTCAATAAGGTTATGACGGAGGAAATAGATGTTGGTGTTGTGTTCTAAAGGGTTCTGTTCGGAAATAATAGGTAGGTTGTTTTACCGGGGTCGTGGATGTGGATTAAATGGTCTGTTGAATGTGTCAACTTGTGGATTAGATGGTTTGTGTCTGTTGAATGTGTCAACGTGTGGATTAGATGGTCCGTGTCTGTTGAATGTGTCAACATGTGGATTAGATGGTCCGTGTCTGTTGAATGTGTCAACATGTGGATTAGATGGTCAGTGTCTGTTGAATGTGTCAACATGTGGATAAGATGGTCCGTGTCTGTTGAATGTGTCAACATGTGGATTAGATGGTCCGTGTCTGTAGAATGTGTCAACATGTGGATTAGATGGTCCGTGTCTGCTGAATGTGTCAACATGTCGATTAGATGGTCCGTGTCTGCTGAATGTGTCAACATGTGGATTAGATGGTCCGTGTCTGTTGAATGTGTCAACATATGGATTAGATGGTCCATGTCTACTGAATGTGTCAACATGTGGATTAGATGATCCATGTCTGTTGAATGTGTCAACATGTGGATTAGATGGTCCGTGTCTGTTGAATGTGTCAACATGTGGATTAGATGGTCAGTGTCTGTTGAATGTGTCAACATGTGGATTAGATGGTCCGTGTCTGTTGAATGTGTCAACATGTGGATTAGATGGTCAGTGACTGTAGAATGTGTCAACATGTGGATTAGATGGTCAGTGACTGTAGAATGTGTCAACATGTGGATTAGATGGTCAGTGACTGTAGAATGTGTCAACATGTGGATTAGATGGTCCGTGTCTGTTGAATGTGTCACCATGTGGATTAGATGGTCAGTGACTGTAGAATGTGTCAACATGTGGATTAGATGGTTAGTGACTGTAGAATGTGTCAACATGTGGATTAGATGGTCAGTGACTGTAGAATGTGTCAACATGTGGATTAGATGGTCAGTGACTGTAGAATGTGTCAACGTGTGGATTAGATGGTCCGTGTCTACTGAATGTGTCAACATGTGGATTAGATGGTCCGTGTCTGTGGAATGTGTCAACATGTGGATTAGATGGTCAGTGACTGTAGAATGTGTCAACATGTGGATTAGATGGTCAGTGACTGTAGAATGTGTCAACATGTGGATTAGATGGTCAGTGACTGTAGAATGTGTCAACATGTGGATTAGATGGTCAGTGACTGCTGAATGTGTCAACATGTGGATTAGATGGTCCGTGTCTACTGAATGTGTCAACATGTGGATTAGATGGTCCGTGTCTGTGGAATGTGTCAACATGTGGATTAGATGGTCAGTGACTGTAGAATGTGTCAACATGTGGATTAGATGGTCAGTGACTGTAGAATGTGTCAACATGTGGATTAGATGGTCAGTGACTGCTGAATGTGTCAACATGTGGATTAGATGGTCCGTGTCTACTGAATGTGTCAACATGTGGATTAGATGGTCCGTGTCTGTGGAATGTGTCAACATGTGGATTAGATGGTCAGTGACTGTAGAATGTGTCAACATGTGGATTAGATGGTCAGTGACTGTAGAATGTGTCAACATGTGGATTAGATGGTCAGTGACTGTAGAATGTGTCAACATGTGGATTAAATGGTCAGTGACTGTAGAATGTGTCAACATGTGGATTAGATGGTCAGTGACTGTAGAATGTGTCAACATGTGGATTAGATATATGTATTGTGACTCCAGTATCGCTGTCTGTATGTATCATATCATGACTAAAGTATAACCCTTGTGTGTTTCAGGTAGCTATCAAGATTATAGATAAAACACAGCTATGTGAAGATAATTTGAAGAAAATATTCCGTGAAATAAAGATTATGAAGCTGCTCAAACATCCACACATTATTCGTCTTCATCAGGTGAGTAACCATGGTGACTATGTTTCAACATTTTTAGCTCATCTTGACATGGTCAGTGTGAGCTTGTGCATCTGTCCGCCCGTTAGAACTGAAACATTCAATATGATCTTCTCCAAATCTGCTGCACGTGAGTGTCATTGCCACATGACATGTCCTTCATCATTTGTTCATAGCCCTAACTACACGGAAGCGATCTTGTCATTTTGTCACTTGTTAGAAATAGGTTGTTGCTTATCAGTCAAATACCCAGTTTTGTTCACTAGATTATTCCTGTACTTATCAGAATTTACATACTCTACAGCAACCCTACACAAAACCCATGCTTGCTGTAAGAGGCGACTCTGTGTGTAGGAGAAACCATGTCTCCGAGGGATTACTAGAGATTGTAAACCCTCACATGAGGGACATTCCCGAATGTGAGGGTTTACAATCTCTAGTAATCTCGAGGAGACATGGTTTGTCCAACTTATAAACCGACTCATCGCACAGACAACGTTTTTAATTAAATAACTAATAAAAACTCTCAAATGTATAACCTGTATCGGAGATGAAATATCGCCTGCAGTCGTGAACTCGGTTCAATGAAACCGGTGACCTCAGCACTTGGATCTCGCAATGGTGCGAATTCTGCATGTGTGTCTCGCAATGGCAAGAAATCTGCACGTGCGTCTCGTAGGCTGAGACTATTACACGTTTTGCTTTGACTGACGCTTATTAATTGTACTGCCTGTTGCTGCTTATCAACACTTCTGTAGCTTTGTGGTACACTCACTGGGCTACAGATATGAAGGTTGCGAGTTCGATCCTCGGGAATATAAAGAAAACATTTGTCATTTGATTTTACATTTCATTACATGTTACAATCTGAACGGAAGTTATAATGATTGTAAGCCCTCCTGCGAGGTGTTACAATCGTTGTTATACCTCCTGCGAGGTGTTACAATCGTTGTTATACCTCCTGCGAGGTGTTACAACAATTTCCAAAACTCCATTCCGAGTTACACAAACAGCCAGTAGGTTTATAAGAGGCGACTAATGGGATCTGGGTGGTTAGGCTCGCTGACTTGGTTGATGTGTGTCATCGATCCCAATTGCGTGGATTGATGCTCATCATGTCAATCACTATTTACAGACTGCTGTCTTATGGCTGGAATATTGCTGAGTGCGGTGTTAAACAACAACCAACATCAACAACAGTGATGGAAACTAACAGTTTTAGCCCACTAGTACATATACTCAACAATAAAAGTTCCTGTGACATCGATATTTTACTGCATTTTTCAAACAAGTAAAGTTTGGTTCTCAATATTGTAGTATATGTATGGAATCAAGTCACAAAAATGCAACTGCTACAGAAAAGCATGCACTTCATGCAAAAGTGATGTTGCAAGACAATTTTACAACCACATAAACACCATTTGGTGTTTATGGCAACTTTGGCAACAGACCAATGCAGTCAAAGACCATCCTCAGAGTGGCAGGCCACGCGTAACCAATAATCGACAAGACAACTGGATTCGAACAACACACCTACGAAATCGAAATCGATTCCAGCCAGCTACAGTGGCTGCAAGAAGCATCCTTGGCCTTCGACGAATATCTTCACAAACCGTACGTCATCGCCTCAGATGTGAAGGGATTGTCGCCAGAAGACCCGCCAAAGGTCCCATTTTGACAGGAAACCACCGTCAAGCACGTCTACAGTGGTGCAGACAGCGTCTACGCTGGACGGCCATGCAGTGGGGACAAGTTCTATTCACTGACGAGTCTCATTTTCACCTAAGCCACAGTGATGGACGGATTCGAGTGTACCGACGTTGAGGTGAACGCTACGTCAACCATTGTGTCATGGAAGAAGATCGGATCGGGGGCGGCAGCGTTATGGTATGGGGGTGGGATTACTGCAAGACAGAGGAGCCGTTTGATAGTGGTAGAGGGAAATCTCAATGGACAGCGCTACTGCGACGAGGTGGACACACATGCTATTGATTTGTAAATTAACATTTTGGCATATTCATGGTTTTTTTTATGAAATCACACATTTTCTGAAGTCATTATGGCAAATTAAATCATTTGAACACTTACAGGAGTCTTTTATCTGCTGCAAACCGAAATTGTTTCAGATTTGCTAAAAACATAACTTTTCATTAAATCTTATTCAATGTCACAGGAATTTTTATTGTTCAGTATACATTAACAGCAATATTTTGAGACCACCCCCAAATCGGTGACATTTGCACCTGTGAGAATGCACGGGACAGTGTGAGGTCATCACCTCGGGACAGGTGTTAGGTAATTACCTCAGGTTATAGGCCATTTCATACATGCATGACAACAAACGAATATTTTCTAAGTTGATCATCATTTTACCTGTAACAAACATTTAAAGGGTAATCACCAGGGGTTGAAATTTTTTTTAAAATGTTACTTGACCAAGGGCAAGTATGACCAACATTCTCACTTGCCCTATTTAAAATGTACTAGCCCAAAATCAAGCTAATAAATTCAGTAAAATGTTACTGCTGCAGAACTGAGAATAAAATTCTGAAATTTGAACATCCATTAATAAACTATCTCTTACGATTGCAAGCGTGTATGTTTGGGTACTTGAAACAAATGGTGCATGCATTTAACTGAATTTATTAGCGTGATTCGGGGCAAGTACATTTTAAAATAGGGCAAGTACGAATGTTTGTCATACTTGCCCTTGGTCAAGGAACATTTTTTTAAGATGATTATGATGACAACGTTGATGGTGATGATGATGATGATGATGACGTTGATGATGATGATGACGATGATGATGATGATGACGATGATGACGTTGATGATGATGATGATGATGATGACGTTGATGATGTTACGTTGATGATGATGATGACGATGATGATGTTACGTTGATGATGATGATGATGATGATGATGACGTTGATGATGATGATGTTGATGATGATGTTGCAGGTGATGGAGACAGAGAGGATGTTGTATTTGGTCACCGAGTATGCGAGTGGAGGGGAGATATTCGGTGAGTTTAGTTACTATGAATATGTTCTTGGAAACAAACTTGTGCAACTAGTGATGTTTCTGTGAAAGATTATAAATAAATGGTCTTATTCAAAATACTTTTTGTAAATAGTACCATCTTGACACCTCTCATGAGTTGGCCTTCCATACAAAACACTTGTCCACTAAACAATGGACAAGTTCACTGGTCCACTAGACAAATTGTCGCAAGAGGCGACTTATGGGATCTGGTGGTCATACTCGCTCACTTCGTTGAAACATGTCATCGTATCCCAATTGCGTGGATCCATGCACATGATATCAATCACTGTATTGTCTGGTCCAGACTTGATTGTTAACAGATCTCCGTCATATAGCAGGAATATTTCTGAGTGCAGCATCAAACAACAAACAAATTATGAAATATCAGCATTCAATCCTCATGCATTAGGATGCGTGGACACACCCTGTTGGACACACCCTGTATGTGATAAGCGCCTGTTTCTTAACGTTGATGCACATAGGATGCAGTATTTTGTCCCTAGAGAGATGTTCCAATGATCATTGGTAGTCAGTTATTGAACTGCAACACCCTCCTCCAAATGTCATGACAACCAACACCCTCCTCCAAATGTCATGACAACCAACACCCTCCTCCAATTGTCATAACAACCAACACCTTCCTCCAAATGTCATGACAACCAACACCCTCCTCTGACTCTCATGACAACCAACACCCTCCTCTGACTCATGACAACCAACACCCTCCTCTGACTCTCATGACAACCAACACCCTCCTCTGACTCTCATGACAACCAACACCCTCCTCTGACTCTCATGACAACCAACACCCTCCTCTGACTCTCATGACAACCAACACCCTCCTCTGACTCCCATGATGAGCAACACCCTCTTCTGACTCTCATGACAAGCAACACCACCCTCCTCTGACTCTCATGACAAGCAACACCCTCCTCCAACTGTCATGACAACCAACACCCTCCTCCAACTTTCATGACATCCAACACCCTCCTCCAACTGTCATGACAACCAACACCCTCCTCCAACTTTCATGACAACCAACACCCTCCTCTGACTCTCATGACAACCAACACCCTCCTCCAACTTTCATGACAACCAACACCCTCCTCCAACTATCATGACAACCAACACCCTCCTCCAACTGTAATGCGAGCAACATGCTCCTCCAACTGTCATGACAAGCAACACCCTCCTCCAACTGTCATGGCAAGCAACACTCTCCTCCAACTGTCATGACAAGCAACACCCTCCTCCAACTGTCATGACAAGCAACATCCTCCTCCAACTGTCATGACAACCAACACCCTCCTCCAACTTTCATGACAACCAACACCCTCCTCCAATTGTCATGCGAGCAACACCCTCCTCCAACTGTCATGCGAGCAACACCCTCCTCCAACTCTCATGACAAGCAACGCCCTCCTCCAACTGTCATGACAAGCAACACTCTCCTCCAACTGTCATGACAACCAACATCCTCCTCCAACTGTCATGACAACCAACACCCTCCTCCAACTTTCATGACAACCAACACCCTCCTCCAACTGTCATGACAAGCAACACCCTCCACCAACTCTCATGACAAGCAACACCCCCTCTGACTCTCATGACAAGCAACACCCTCCTCCAACTGTCATGACAAGCAACAGCAGAGTTGCGTCCCTTTGGCACGCCAGAAACCTATGATTGTGGGTTCGAATCCCGGTTCGCCCCGATTATGTTTCTAGGTTTGTCAGCACCATACCCGTGCTCGTGGGTTTCACCGAAGTGGTAAACGTCTGAGACCTGCATCACTTCGGGCTTTCCTCCCACATGAAGCTGACACGCCGCGATATAACTGGAATACTGTTAAAAGCGGCGTTAAACCCAACTCACTCACTCACTCACTCATGACAAGCAACACCCTCCTACAACTGTCATGACAAGCAACACCTTCCTCCAACTGTCATGACAAGCAACACCCTCCTCCAACTGTCATGACAAGCAACATCCTCCTCCAACTGTCATGACAACCAACACCCTCCTCCAACTTTCATGACAACCAACACCCTCCTCCAACTCTCATGACAACCAACACCCTCCTCCAACTCTCATGACAACCAACACCCTCCTCTGACTCTCATGACAAGCAACACCCTCCTCCAACTGTCATGACAAGCAACACCCTCCTCCAACTGTCATGACAACCAACACCCTCCTCCAACTGTCATGACAACCAACACCCTCCTCCAACTGTCATGACAACCAACACCCTCCTCCAACTGTCATGACAACCAACACCCTCCTCCAACTTTCATGACAACCAACACCCTCCTCCAACTGTCATGACAACCAACACCCTCCTCCAACTGTCATGACAACCAACACCCTCCTCCAACTGTCATGACAACCAACACCCTCCTCCAACTTTCATGACAACCAACACCCTCCTCCAACTGTCATGACAACCAACACCCTCCTCCAACTGTCATGACAAGCAACGCCCTCCTCCAACTGTCATGACAAGCAACGCCCTCCTCCAACTGTCATGACAACCAACGCCCTCCTCCAACTGTCATGACAACCAACACCTTCCTCCAACTGTCATGACAAGCAACACCCTCCTCCAACTGTCATGACAAGCAACACCCTCCTCCAACTGTCATGACAAGCAACACCCTCCTCCAACTGTCATGACAAGCAACATCCTCCTCCAACTGTCATGACAAGCAACACCCTCCTCCAACTGTCATGACAAGCAACACCCTCCTCTGACTCTCATGACAAGCAACGCGCTCCTCTGACTCTCTTGACAACCAACATCCTCCTCCAACTGTCATGACAAGCAACACCCTCCTCTGACTCTCATGACAAGCAACACCCTCCTCTGACTCTCATGACAAGCAACACCCTCCTCCAACTGTCATGACAAGCAACACACTCCTCTGACTCTCATGACAAGCAACACCCTCCTCTGACTCTCATGACAAGCAACACCCTCCTCTGACACTCATGACAAGCAACACCCTCCTCCAACTGTCATGACAAGCAACACCCTCCTCCAACTGTCATGCGAGCAACACCCTCCTCTGACACTTATGACAAGCAACACCCTCCTCCAACTGTCATGACAAGCAACACCCTCCTCCAACTGTCATGACAAGCAACACCCTCCTCTGACTCTCATGACAAGCAACACCCTCCTCTGACTCTCATGACAAGCAACACCCTCCTCCAACTGTCATGACAAGCAACACAGCCAGTCACATTAACCCCATCACTGCCTCCCCCAGCCTGCAATCCTCCACTTCACTCAAGGCAACGGGAACATTCCTTTCCATTCCTCCAGTCTTAATCCTCTCAGACAACAAGCCCCTCATTGTCATTGAGGCAGTTTCAACCCGTCCCTTATTGCCCAGATTTATTGAAATACATAGCTCAAATACACAGGTAGATCATCATCTCTGGACGAAGGCCTTCCCTGGCAGCTCCTGCCTCCCTGTTCCACCCGTCCTCCATGCTCTTCAGATTAAACAATAATCTCCACACACCGGCGAGCGGGCAATCCAAGCTGTGTGTGCGATGGAGCTTTCGCCAGGCTACTGTTCGCACAGTGGAGGCAGTGTTTGATGTACAGGGCCTGTTTACTTGCATGCAGTAATTAATACAGAGACAAGTCTCATCCTTGACTGTGCTGGAGACTGGCTGGAGGTGTAGCTTAAGGTCAGGGAAGTAGGTCTGTATGAGGGGGACATCAGTTAACCATTGAACTGCTAGGTCTGTATGAGGGGGACATCAGTTAACCATTGAACTGCTAGGTCTGTATGAGGGGGGACATCAGTTAACCATTGAACTGCTAGGTCTGTATGAGGGGGACATCAATTAACCATTGAACTGCTAGGTCTGTATGAGGGGGACATCAGTTAACCATTGAACTGCTAGGTCTGTATGAGGGGGACATCAGTTAACCATTGAACTGCTAGGTCTGTATGAGGGGGACATCATTTAACCATTGAACTGCTAGGTCTGTATGAGGGGGACATCAGTTAACCATTGAACTGCTAGGTCTGTGTGAGGACATCAGTTGACAATTTAACTGCGAGGTCTCTATGAGGGGGACATCAGTTAACCATTGAACTGCTAGGTCTGTGTGAGGACATCAGTTGACAATTTAACTGCGAGGTCTCTATGAGGATATCAGTTAACCATTGAACTGCTAGGTCTGTGTGAGGACATCAGTAAACCATTGAACTGCTAGGTCTGTGTGAGGACATCGGTTAACCATTGAACTGCTAGGTCTGTGTGAGGATGTCAGTTAACCATTGAACTGCTAGGTCTGTGTGAGGATATCAGTTAACAATTGAACTGCTAGGTCTGTGTGAAGACATTGGTTAACCATTGAACTGCTAGGTCTGTGTGAGGAAGTCAGTTAACCATTGAACTGCTAGGTGTGTGTGAGGACATCAGTTGACAATTGAACTGCGAGGTTTCAATGAGGATATCAGTCAACCATTGAACTGCTAGGTCTGTGTGAGGACATCAGTTAACCATTGAACTGCTAGGTCTGTGTGAGGATGTCAGTTAAAAATTGAACTGCTAGGTCTGTGTGAGGACATCAGTTAACAATTGAACTGCTAGGTCTATGTGAGGACATCAGTTAACCATTGAACTGCTACGTTTGCGTGAGGACATGAGTTAACCATTGAACTGCTAGGTCTGTGTGAGGACATCAGTTAACAATTGAACTTCTAGGTCTGTGAGGACATCAGTTAACCATTGAACTGCTAGGTCTGTGTGAGGATGTCAGTTAACCATTGAACTGCTAGGTCTGTGTGAGGATATCAGTTGACAATTGAACTGCGAGGTTTCTATGAGGATATCAGTTAACCATTGAACTGCTAGGTCTGTCTGAGGACATGAGTTAACGATTGAACTGCTAGGTCTGTGTGAGGACATCAGTTAACCGTTGAACTGCTAGGTCTGTGTGTGGATATCAGTTAA